CTAGTGATTTCCTATATACCCTGCATGACTCGAACTCGAGTTCTATAAGTCCCATTGAATAGTGCTACGAACTGACCCACCCCTTCTCATCTTATCTCGTCAGATGAGAGCTACCAACTGACCTTACCCTTCTTGTCTCATCTCGTCAGATGAGAGATGCTTTCTGACTGACCAACTATTAGATGCCAGATTATGCAATTGGAACAAAATTATTTTTTCTCCACCACTAAAAAACTCATCTTTTTACCATTGTGCCTCAAGTTCCACTGAATTATTCAAATATTCACCGACGAAAGGAGGTGGGAACACTATTGATCCTCTTTTTTGAAAAAAAAAAAAACGTTGATCACAAAACGCACAGATCATACCTAAAGCTCCGGTCATCGGCGCCCTTATGTGTCCTGACGATGTGCTCCATCCTATACTTTGCCCGCCAGTAGTCTCGTCGGCGATTGGACAACAGCACGGCAGAGCAGCCCATCCTAAAGTAACAATTTGGTATGAGCATTGACCTATCCTTCCCCGGGTACCAATTATAGCCCACCATCTCCGTACTCACGACCACCGCGTAGTTGCTAGGGCTGGCCTCCAGCATGTCCCGAGCAAGATCTACAGCAATCACCCCAGCGCTGCATCCCATTCCCCCGAGGTTGAAGCTGAGGATATTCCCCCTCATCTTATAGTGATTGATCACCATTGCCGAAAGTGAAGGCGTTGGGTTAAAAAGGCTGCAGTTCACCACGAGAATGCCGATGTCTTTTGCCCGCACCCCAGTTTTCTCAAACAGCTCGTCCAGAGCTCCGAAGATTACGGTCGAGGCCTCTGCCCGTCCCTCCTTCATCGTGGCCGTCTTTTCTGATGACCCAATGGATTTCGGAATGTAGGTTTCGTCGCCGATGCCAGATGACTGGAGGATTCGACGCTGGAAATCCAGGCTGGCGTCGTCGAATTTGCCAGATTTTCGAGCCAACTCAATGAATTCGTCCTTCGTCACCTGTCGTAATATTTTGTTTACTTAGGATGATTATCAAGATTGAAATTGTTTTCAAATTTAGTACATATAAAATGAAATAAAACATTATGGTGACCAACGCTATATAAGTTCGCTTTTTTATATCCAAATCAAAGCTGTAATAAGCAGAATAACTTGGAAAAATTTAAATTTTTTATTAGCTTTTTTCTTCTAATTTTATTCTTTATCCGTGGTCCTTGGAGGTCTTTTGCATTTTAATCTCTCGAACCATAAATTTTTTTTTAGCTGTAGTTGCACGGATAGTGTTAAGAAAAAATTATCCCCTACACGACCAAACTTTCTTAGATGTACATATTAACGGTACAAAAAGTTATATTCCGTTGCACTCTAATACCATGATCTATCAAATATTTAATTCCACATTTACAGTGTTTTGACTTTTTTTATAAATCTAATTGATTAGTTAATGCATGGAGTAATAAACATAATATTGGGAAGTGTGATTTCTCACACAATTTATTGCTAGTTTATTTTGGTTGAAGAATAGTTCATTGTCGATTTATTTCGTAAATTGAATTACGATTTTAATTGATAATTTATTCAATATATTTTCTAGTTGATAAATTGTTTATGTTTTCTATATTATAACATGACTCTGTCCTTTTGTTTTTTCCAACATACTTTTGTGTTTATTCTTTGTATTTATAATTAATGAAGGCGATCTTTACTCAATATCATTGTTGTAAACTTGTATATATATTGTTTCTTAAATGTAAGGTATAGTTGTGGTTTAACTACAATAGTCAATAAACATGAAAATATAGTCAATCGTTATATACCAAGCGTAGTATATTTATGGTTTAACTATACTAAACATATAATTCATAAATAAAGTATAACTAATTTTCACTTTATATAATAAAAATTATATATAGGGAAAAAATTCAATTGCGCTAAAGTTTTAGAAAATTAATTAAACAAATATTATTGACCATTAATTTGTTTATACAAGTATTCTAAAAAAATATCATCTTTTTATATAGCAGTATTAATTTTTGATTTTTTTTAATGCTTGCATTAAATATTTAACTTACAAATTGCATGGACGTTTTCTTATATGGTGTGAATTATTTTTGGAAGCACCAAAAATCAAGCCCTGATTAGTAGAGTGATTTCTACTGTTTCAATTGTCTTTGAAGAATTGAGGATCATCATATTTACCATTATGGAATTCCAAACTTTTGGCCGTTAATGAGGGGGTTAAAGATGTTAAATGGATGATGCCCATAGGGCCCCATCGGTACAGTTGAAGGAAAATAATAGAATTAGATTCTTGACAATTTCAACTAAAACTCTTACTTTTTAATACATATTTAATGCAGAAAAGATAATTTTACTTTTTTTTTTTCATTTTATAAACCTCAATTACTTATTTTATCATAAAATTCAAGGACATATTAAATTTTGTCTTTAATTTTTTCAAAAATATAATAACACTAATTTTGATATATAATGTGAACGTTTATTATACATCAACAATTTTGGTATGGAGCCATCGGATGGTTCGGTTTATGGACCCATCCACACTTATTAACTAATAGCGTATTGACACGTGTCCTGCAATAAATACACTTTGGACACGTGTCAACACATTAAGTGGTGGATGGCTCCATAAGAAAATCATCCGATTGCTCCATAGAATTTTTGTATACATCAAATTAGTTTATAAAAATTTGAGAGTGAAAGTGGACTGATCCTTATGTGACATTTCATCTTAAACTCTATTTTATACTTAAGTAGAGATTCGGTGTTTTCAATGAATTTGATTACTTTATTTAGTTCTATCAAGATCATTTAAGATTTGGATCCTATGTCTTATAAAATAAAATTAGGTCCAAAACATTGTGGATGATGACCTCTTTGAACAAAATCAATTAGGTTGAACTCAAAAGTGTCCAAAACATTTAAGAGTTTCTACTTTAAGAATATCAAAATTATGTGCAAACCTCAAAAGTTGAAGTGTAAGACTAATTCCAATAGTGTACCAATTAAACTCCTTAATCCTCTCTCCTTATATTCTCGCTCTCTATTTAATTTAACTCTGAAAAACTCTCTCCCTCTCTCTTTTTTATTGTTTTATCATTTTAGAGATATATTATGCAAATACTAAGAATTATGCAAATTACAAAAACTAATGTATTAAAAATAACTTTGACTACCAAATCTATATGTATATAATTGAAAACTATCCAATTAATATAAATAAAAAATTTTCTCGCCCATTTTTAAAGTTAATTATGATAAAACGGTTACATTTTAATAATTAAGTCATATTTTATTAATTTTTTATTATATAATAGTTATTACAAAAATCAGCTAATTATAATTAACACTAATTGTATATAGAAGTTATATAACTATAAAAACATTATATTTTTTTGTTCAAGCTATATATTATTTTAAAATCTATATTTATTGCATCATTAACCATTATTTTTCTAAATAGATAATTGTGCTTAATGACATAGCCACAAAATCCTCAAATCCCATAAATAATAATAATAATAATAATATAAGAACAATAATAATAATAATTCAGTATTTCTCTACCTAATTAACTGAACATGATGCCACAAAATTATGAAAATTATATTTTATGCAATCAATAATAATTATTCATGTGTAGGAATAGTTTATAATGTATTGTTAAGTTGTTAATGGACAAAATATAAAAATGTGATATCTATATAACATTATATATATAAATATAACTTATAGCACTTTATTTATATATGTGAATATGCGATGAGCTGCTAGTAAACATTAACTACAAATTGAAATTAATTGTGAGATGGCGCATGCAAACATTAAACTACCTTCATTTCACACTTAATTAGCTATGTTTACCAAAAACTAGCCTAGCTTATAGATGGTATGTTGATAGCTTATGCCTATGTCTTAAAAACCAATTAATATAATAGAAATTTTATTATTGATTGAATAATAGAATAGTTGTGTTTCGTAATAATTATTATTAAAATTATTACGTAAATTCTATTTCCTAAAAGCTAGAGTGTTTCGTAAATTAATTTATAACCTAATCAAATAAGATATAATTTAGCTTCTCCTACCTACTAAACACACTTTTATTATTTTTTTCCAGTTTTTCTTCTCTATTTCTCTCTTTAAAATAGCTAAGGAATGATGCGAAATGATCTAACAACAACATTTTAAATTAAAAAAAAATTCCCCACATAAAGTAGTTACGATCTGACCTTCAAATCATTACTTGGTTTGTAACACGCGAAATCAAGAAGATAGATGGAGCGCGGCCTGGACAGGAAGTATATGAAGAGCGTGAAAACCGAAAGGGCCAAAAAGGCGAGAACGGAGGCAAGGTCATATCCGGCGGCGCTGTCCCAAATCCTCCGCCACAGCTCCTCCTTGCTAAGGCCGGCCAGCACCAACACCGGGATCGTGGCCAAGAATATCCCGTGGTTCATAAGGTAATGATAACCCAGCTTCACATACTTGAGCTTCACCGACTGGACAAAGTCCGGCAGCCTCCGCCGGACCCTCACCGAGAACGTCATCGATCCGGCGTCCGGGCCCGACCGCTTCACGATCTCCGTCGACAGCAGTTCTTGTTCGCCGGCCATAAATATTAATTTCGGCCAATAGTTTTTTTTTTCTTGTATTGTTGGTAATATTAATTAAGTTTCTTTTTCTATTTTTTCTTGGGGGGTGTTGATTTGTAGGATGATGATGGTTTTGGGGTTATTTATGGTGACGGGTGGAGTAAATGCGAGTCACCGAGTTGGGTTTGTGCAGTTGGTGGGTTGGCTTTCCAAACAAAAGCCTTAAATTCTTGCATTTATGAAGAGTAGTTCACAATATTTTTTTTTCACAAAGTCTGCTGGTGACACCTTTTCTCTTCTGGCAATATTAATGATTTTTTATTACCTTTATTTCCCCTTGTTTTTGTTTTGTGAAAAGTTGGGAGGAGGATGTAGAGAACCCAAAATGTGTTTATACAGAAAAATAAATTCGTTTTCGGGAAGCGCTGAACTACCACTCAGGACTCTTTCATTTAGTAAATTGGTTGGTGCGCAAGATATATAGTTTGAAATTACAAGAATAGAATTTCCTCTTAACCTACCACAACTGTATCAGAAACTACTAGTTACTTCTCTAGCCACAACGTGACTGCTATTTGGAATCCCTCCAAGCTGATAAAATACTTAATTCATATGTACCCAGGGTATATGAGTAAAAACATGAACAATTATTCACAGTAACGTAAAAAAGCAAAACTAAATCGCTGAATATCTAATATATGAAAATGTAAACCTAAACTCACAAAACTATCTTGAACAATAAACTCAATGCTAATCGTAATCGCAACAACATGTCTCCGAGTCTTCGTGGTAGCATATATACAAACTCGAAGACGATAAAGAGTCTTCACATTTCCCATGTCTTCAACAATCGTCCATATGAAGTTGATTTCCTTTCCAATAGTTTGGCTTCTTTGATGGAAGATCTTCAATATCTTTGATCAGTATTTGCGCAGGAACAGTGTTTTTCAGTTTTCTTGATTTTCTAAATCTTGTCTAAGATCTTTATCAATATCTTCATATCTTGATCTCGATCTTCTCCAAGTTAAATGCAAGATCGTCATGCACAATAAACTCACCCTTCTTAGAACACTCAATGCATCCTTTATCTACAAGTATAAGGAAACTTATTAAGGCAATGCATGACTTGGATATGATAAAAGAATATAACTAAAATATACTACTAGATATTTCTATCTAATACTTACTATAATAAATAAATCTAATATATAGTAGTTACTAATATTGTATAGGAACTAAATAAACATAAAAATATATAGAATAGAAATTTCCCCTTTTAATTTGTATTGCTTTCCTAGCAAGAATATCATCAATATACTTAATTTGTTGAACACTTGCCACATCAAATATTTACTATCTCTCCTTTTGGCATTTAGATTTCAAAACCGGTTCTTGAAGATGACCTGTAAAATAAATTCAAAACTGCAAAGCAAAATTCTATGTTCAAATACAAGGGAATATACAATCCTAAAACCTGTAGTGTGTTAGAACATTAGACCAAGTTCCTAAAGAAAATATAAGAAGGATCAAAGCTAAACAAATACTAGTACAAATCACTTAAATGACAGAGAATCCCAAATCAAGATAGCAATAGTATAAGAAAAAACGAACTAGAACTTGGCAAAGTTTCAATTTCCTGCATAATACTATCATAGAACAAAAACAAAATAGAAGTTGTTCAACCATTCTAGCAAATTGTTAAAACATCCTAAGAAAGCACCAAAAGAAACACAACCAACAAAACAAACACAACACAACATCCTAAGAAAGCACCAAAAGAAACTAACTTCATCATGCATAGTTATAAAAACGATTAACCTACAAAATATTTTTGGTATGTCAAATAACTAGGATGCTTTCATTTGCATGATATTATTAGGCAGGATCTCTAATCCCATACAATTTAATAGAAAACAAAAACTGAGTATGAGAAAGCTTAGTGGGGACTTAACAATTGATATATAGCATTTCAATTAAACCAATTTGGAAATTTCATGTTAAACAAGTTTATACTCAAATGCATATTTTAGAGACATCTTACAAGTGCTCGAAAGTAAAATAATAATAGAAATTCAGTTAATAGCTATTTGTTTGACACAGTCAAACTACTGTTGTTTTATATAATAGTGTTTAGTGTTACGTCTTTAATCAACCATCCCCTATATTAAAAAATGTATAAATTAAATTTGATGTTCCCTGTTGCTTGACTCATTCTTTTTCAATAATTGTCCAACCATTTCATTTTTACATGGCTTGATATTGATTGTGATTTACATGTTGCCGTGCTGGATATCGATAAATCTATTTGATATGACACCCAAAATTGCTCGGTTAATCGGGTTTAGCGGTTAGCTCGGATATGATCAGTCCAACGAAGGTTTAGCTCAATTTTTACAATTTAATCATATATGATATTAGTTAAATACCGATAAATATTTAGGAAACATTCATAACAGATATCCGAACAAGTTTGTGCATATCTACACAATGATTTTTAAGGATTAGATTTCTTGGTTATAAAGAAAATCTCTTGTTTTGAAGAGTACGTTATTAAATCTTTTACAAATAAGAGATCCATGTTCAATTTCTAGACATACATTATGAATAAGTTTCTCAACTGCAGCACGTTTGAGAATAAAATTTATGCCTTGAGCGTCGGAGTGTCTACACCGAAAATTGCCCCGAACACTGTTTTGCAGGTTGAGGCTATGTTTGATTATTGGCTGTTTGAGCAAAAAAGCTAAGTTGGCGGTTTTGACCAAATAAAACTGCTAACAATATTTGAGAAAAAAAGCTGAAATCTGAAACGCTGAGAATCGAAGCGTTTGTGAATGGCGTTTTGCATTATTTAATTAGATCATGTTTTTTTATTGGTTAATTACTATTAAAAACTTATCCACATTGTTGACCAAATAATTTATTTTTTAAAATAGCACTGAAGCAATAGTAACATGTTTTTGCATTACAAAAGCTAATTATTTTCAATTCATTTAGTATCAGTTATTCAAATAAATAACAAACAAAAATGTAAACTTTGATTATTTATTTATAGATAAGTTTACCTTTTTTATTTTAAAGAGTGACTCTCAATTTTATTTAAAAATTTATAAAAAAATATAAATTATTTGTAGTTATTCTAAAATTAAAACAATATCAGATTGTATTTATCAATAATTTAATAACGGCTAATTTTCAAGTAGTTCGTTTTACCTAACCGTTTTTAATTCGTGATGACTTGTTATTGATTGTTTATATGACGTGACCATATTTACTCGATCAAGAAATATTTTCCTTTTATTATTATTTATATTTTTATTATACTTAAATCACTTTAATAAATATTGAAAATATTAACTATTTATATTTCTTAAATAATTAGAAGTTCAACATAAATTAGAATGGTAAAAAATATATTGATTTCCTTATAAGTAATTTTACATGCTAATAGCTAATTTTACCAAACACTCTTTTACAAACAACTAACACAATGAGCTAGTCAAAATAGCTAATGCAATTCGGTGGTCAAAACAACTAATGCAATCTGCTAACAGCTGATTATCAAACAAGGCCTGAATCGGTTTGTGGTTGAAGCGCTCGGTTCAACCCAAACTCTTGGTGAGCGATATTTTTGGCAAATCAAATTGGCGTCGTATGTGGAAACACCTCAATTAAAAAAATTGGTTCCGACAGAAAGAACCATAAAGAGAGAATTGTCCATTCTCTAAGAAAAAACAGAGCCAAGAGGTCAGATAGTTTGGGAACTTAGCAGCATCGCCGCTAACAAGACAAATCCAGTCATCGAAATTGACCACCACAGGCTTGAGATTGAAATCGACCACCGACCATCACCACCGACCAATTTAGACCAAAATCGAACACCTTAGGCTTGGCCCCATCTCTCCGTGGACAAACCTGTGCTAGAGGCGGCGAAGGAGGGAAATAGTGAATCTGGTCGGGGCCTAGCTACTGCGGCTGGAGCGGAATAGTGAATCTGGTCGGGGCTAGCGAAAAGACCATCGACTATGATAACCAACATAGTGATGCAGCAGAACCTGTGGTGTAGAAAATGTGCAGAGAACTCACACAGAACACAATAGTTTTCTTCATTCAATATTTGATAAAAACCGCCAGTACACTGAGAGACAACTGCCTTTAAATACTACATGAAGTCCTAATCACTAAACCCACACAAGTCCAATACCACATAAATAATAATAATAATAATAATAATAATAATAATAATAATAATAATAATAATAATAATAATATTCAAACTAATGAAACGAGTCGATCAAACTTGTCGAGATATGCTAATGCAATCTCGTCGGCGTCCTGGACAACCCCGTCAACAAAATCACCTACATCAAAGACCATCGAGCGACCATCCTCCGAGCCGGATAACTCTCTACACTGCTTGACGCGAGAAACGAATAAAACCAGAGACGACGATGGCAATGGACTAGAACTGGATGATGACGGATGCAGGACTATGCGGACGCCCTCAAATAAAAAACTATATGTGTTGAGTCGTCCATCATGTACCACCGAGCGATCAAATTGCCAAGGTCGTCCTAATAAAATGTGCCAAGAATTCATAGGCACGACGTCACACCATGTCATGTCCTTATAAGAGGATCCGATAGAAAAGGTCACCAACACGCGTCGGGTGACACGAACAGAATCATCATGATGTATCCACGCAAGAGCATACGGATCTGGATGCGGCTCACTTAACAACCCCAGTTTCATCACAGCCTCGTTCGAAATCACATTCTCGCAGGAACCATAATCAATGACAAAACGGCACACCCGGCCACCAATGGTGCATGTGGATTCAAAAAGGTGGTGTCGCTGGACCGTATCCTCAGAAGAGAAGTGGAGAGACAAAAGAGATCGACGAAGGACAAGCGCATGACCCACATCTCCCGAAACATGCACTTCGGGAACCTCTGGCTCTTTATCAAAAATTGGATGACCATCGTAAGCAGTCGAGTCTGGGTCATCAACAATCAAAGCTCGTGGCCCTCTTGCTTTCGGGCACTGTGCTTGACGATGCCCCGACTCACCACAAGTGAAACAACGCGGACCACTAGTCTGCCGATTGCCATTCCCCATCGTGGGGCCAACCACACGACCTTCAAAAGGAGCACTCATATCGAACGGAGCCTTCACCACAGACGGCGTGGTACC